TGAGGTGGTGCTGGGTGCTGTCGTCCACGGCGCAGATGTATTTGCAATGTGGGAGCCGTTGTGTGGAGTGATGCTGTAATTTGGCAACTGTCGTGGCTGTCCGGAAGACTGTGGGCTGAATTGTTGTTTTCAGTTTTTACTAAGAAATTGTATGCTTTGCAGAGCAATACAAAATCCTTTAATTTTATGATTTTGGAGAAGTGGATGTTTCAGACTAGTAGCAGGTGATGCTAAAGCTTCGAACAATTTAGACTACAGGCACTGTGTACTGAAGCTAATGGTTTATGTCTCTCACGGTACTCTACTAAGTTGTAACTTCGATATCTAATGTGACTTACCTAATTGAGGCTGTTATAACAGGATGTGCATAGCACTTTGAGCTTCACATTATTGTGACAATTTTGTACATAAAATGTAGTGTAGAGTTTCCAAGCCTTTTCTGTAGTACTATTGGGCATTGGAGACCCCAGTGTGAAACGAAGCTTACTCAAATAGCTTCCTTCCCATGCTCAGATGTCAAAATCAATAGTGTCTCAACTGTATTGCTAGTCTGAGTCACAGCTTTTGGGAATTTAGAGGTAGATTTAGATTGACACAGTTCCATTTAGTAGAAAATGGCCACAAGGTGTGTGTTTTATTAAAAAAAAAAAAGGACAATGTCATGTTAGCTGTCATAATCTATGACAGAACAAAATATGTTAGATTTGTCTGAGTTAAGGTGAAAAAATGTGGTAGTAGGTTGTAAAAAAAAAAAAAAATTCTTGAAGATAAAGGAGTATAATATATGAAAGTAAAATATACCTTTACTAGAGGTTTCACGTTTTCCATTCAGTTTCCTTAGAAGTAACTATTAGATGGGAAGGAGAGTATGGTCAAAGAAAAATAGGGATTTAAAAAACTCATGAATAAAGGTAATTTTGAGTACTTTTAAGTAAAGTTTCATCTCTGCTCGGGATACTAGACAGCCCAGGGTAGTTCAAAATGATGCACAAATTTAGGGGAGATTAAGAACTGTAGATAGGGATATGACCATGTCTCTTTTGTGGGCACGCCCCACCCCCCACCCCGCCATCTTGCTGTGTACTCTTTTTGACTGGAAAATGTCTGTTGGATTTGGGACAGTTTGGGATAGGGGGTTGTTCTTTAGCTTGGCTGTTAGTTATATAATTTAAATACTAATGAGAGGGAAATTTCAAGTATGGGTAGTGAAGTTTCTTTTATGTGTCTTTAACAGGCCTGAAAACATCACCTGGATGAATATAAGGTGCTTCCATGGCTAGCAGTGGCAAGTGCCTAAAATGAGGCTAGCATTCTGTAGAATGTGTAGAAAAATGGAAGGGAGCAGGGGGGAAGAAAAAAGGTCGGTTAGAATGTTTAGGCAGATTCAGTCCAGGACTAAACTAATGTGCTTAGGACTTCTGCAGCAGGGTAGTCTTTAAGGCTTAAAGCTACATTCCAGAAGATAGACTTCTTTTGTGTGTGTATGTGTATTGCATTGAAAAATGTTATATGAGAGGCGTGAGGATTTTTTGTTGTTGTCAGGATGGCACTGTATCTAAAAAGTGCTGACAGGTATAGAAAATTGTTTATCCACAGTACAGGTTTGGTTCTATAGTTATTTTTGCAGATAATAGTTTTCCCAACTCTGGTGTATCTTATTTATAATCAGCTTAGTTGGAAGTATTTGTGCATGTCCCTGGCAGCTGTGAAAAGGACTTTATAATAAAAAAATAAGAACAGTGCTTGAAATTCCTGTTTGTTAGTGGCTATATTTGAACTAAAAAATTGGCATTTGAAAGACTAATTTAATTTTTAATGAGCAGTATTGTTAGAGAAACTTCAGTGTTTGATATTATGCTTGCGATGGGGCAGGAATAATATGCTTTGACTATAATTTTTTTTCCCCCTTCTTTTTTAAGATATTTAGATTCTGCAAATCAAAATGCCACAGAAACTTTAAAAAGAAGCGAAATCCCAGAAAGATGAGATGGACCAAAGCATTCAGGAAAGCAGCTGGCAAAGAGTTGACAGTGGTAAGAAGTTTAACTGGTTCACACTTTCCATTAGCTCACTAAAATGGCAGAAATCTAGCTTTTTCCAGTTGCAAACAGGTTAGGTTAGCTAGCTTAATGTGTTATCATTTAATTAGATTGGCATGAGGGATGGAGTAAATGGAGAGAAGAGGGATTGTGGAAGAGGATGTGGGAGTTTTCTTGAGAGCGAGCTGTTCATTTAGCTTGACTGTAACTTGGAACTTCCTGTTTCAGCTTTGGTGTGGAAGACAGTGTATCAGGTGCCTAACTTTGAGGTTTCCAAGTCCCAAGGCATTTTTTTTTCCATCTATAGATCTCCTGCGCTCTGTACATATACGTTTGGTAGTTGTATTTCTGCACATTCAGATAATCTGGGTTACCAAGTACCCCAGGAAGTCTCTTAATGTAGACACATAAAATAATTACCTTTTGAAGTCTCCTTAAAGCACACAATGTATAGGAAAAGTCTTTGCATAGGTAGGAACGTTTCAAAAACAGCATGTGAGATCTTAAAATAGTTAAAAACAAGACAAGGTTGCTTCAGTGGTAGAAATATTAAGCATTCATATTTGGTGGAACAGTCCTTAAACAATTCAAGAATTACTGTGACTTAATTACCTGGTTTTTGAGAGAATACTAGCAATTTTGTAAGTATTTTGACACAGTGATTTGCTGCCTTCTGTGGATCTTCCAAGGGGAAGAATGTGATTATTTTTTAATGTGACTCTGAGAAGCCATGATAATTAGCATCTCCTGTAATTGTATTTCTTGCTTTCGAGTTGGTTCTGGCTAAGTTGAAAAGAACCTAAGATCTTAATTTAAAATTCCTTAATACATATCTAAATAGGTAACAGTATGCTCCAATTTTGAGATATATCTATGTAAGCTAAGAATTAAATCTATATATAAACATAGTGCTCTGTTGTAGTTTGGTTGGTATCCATTCTTTCATAAGCCAGCTCCTGGGAGAGTGTCTAAGTAGGCTTGTGACAATGGGAAACACTGTATTTGTAAGAACATGACAGTTCTTGCTGCTTTAAATAGGTACATTGGCTAGAGGTTTAAATAGATTTACTTGTTTTCCTGGGTTCCAAGGTTTCTTTATTAAACAACAAAAAAATTAAGACAGATGTAATCTTGCCAGGTGGTTGTTCACAAGGTATTTCTGAAGGACTGTCTTGTTCTCTCACTCAGAATGACAGAGGAGTCAGTCATTCTGTCCCCTCATGTTTGAATGGAAAAGATCCACTGGACAGTATGAGGCAGCTGTAGTTCATCTCCCTGCATGTAGGTTAGAAGACTGTGGCACTTTGAACATCTGTGCTCTTATGAGACTTTTCACTGTTTGTGACATGTTCTCATGATACAAAACAATGCTGTATATTATAAATATGTAAAAGCTGCCACAGTTTAGGATAAACTATAGTGAATTGATGCGGTGCTGTGTCACACTTGGCTAAAAATTAATTTTAGGTAATTTTTTTTTTTAATTCTTTTAAGAATAAGAATAGCATGTAGATGTTAGCATACAGTGTGCTCTACAGCTTCTCTTTTGGGTATTTTGCTTGATGCTGCCCCGTGGTGAAAACTAGCATGGCATGTGAGTGTATGTGCCATTTCTTGCTGTTCTGTGTAGTTTCTCTCATTTGAGCTGTCTTTAGCGCAAGTGAAGAGTAGCAGCTGGTCGAATAACTGTGTTTTACCACTACAAAAGAGAACCTGTGGGCAGGGAAAAGTCCTCAGATAAAGTTGGTATAAAGCTAAGTATGTCTAGCAAAAAAAAATCAGGAAACTGTTTTCCATCTTGAACTCTTGGAAAAAAAAAAAACAACAGAAAGAAAACCCCCATCTGGCCCAAACACTACAATGTCATCACTTGAAATATTTCACAATTTCAAATGGTTTTATATTGTTTCAATATTTTGAAAATGAAATAGTGGGAGGTTTTTGAGCCTTTTCAAAATTACAGGCTGTTGAGTAGAACTTATTTGACCTGCATTAAATGCTTTTGACTCTACATGTTTTCAATTTTGCCTTCCGCCTGTCTAGTCTACTCTGTATTTCCTACTCCACATTGGTCTTCTCTGTTCCTTTTGTCTTGCTGAAAAGAAAATACCTGAGAGAGATGTTTTGGTAAATAGTTCTCTTCAGACAAATCACTGTGTCTTCTGACTCTTTGAGGTCAAACACTCTGTTTTCTTCTAGTTTAGTAATCTCTAAAGGTTGTTAAAGTGTAGGAACTGAGATTGTGAAAGGGAGGGGGGAAAAAAATCATGTAAAATATGAAGTTATATGAGTGCGTGTTGTAGTAAGAATGTGTTGATCTAAATATGCTTCTGTATATAATCTATATTTACTTTTTCTTAATATAGGATAATTCATTTGAGTTCGAAAAACGTAGAAATGAACCAGTGAAATACCAGCGAGAGCTGTGGAACAAGACTGGTGAGTAATTTTTAGAAAAAATGAAAGGTGAACTAAGGGGACTGAACTTTAATTCTGAAAACATCTTAATGTAGAGTAATTCTTGGAAAATTGGTATTTTGTAGTGATTGTGTTTGAAGTTACTGGAATCATGACCAAATTCCTATGTGTGGAGGAGGTTTTAGTTCTGAACACGTGTGGAGTTTCACTTGATTTTTTTTTTTTCCAGAAACTGGTTAGCAAATGAGGTGCAGCATTCCTCTGTTTTGAATTAGTATATTCAAAAAACCTTAGCAGCTCTACAGCTTTTAAGAGGTTCCCAGTGTAAGCCTTTGGTACTGATGCAGTTGTTTCTTTGTTCCTGCTTGTTCCACTTCAGTTTGTATAATAAATCAATTGCTATAAAATGGAAGAGTTACTTATGTCACCAATGAATGCCACAAAGAAGGTGGTAACTTCCATCTGATTGCAAGTAAGAGTCTTTAATAGTGATGGTTAATTGTAGAAAGTGTCTTGTAGACGCAAAAGTGAAAGCATAAATAAGTTTTAAAATACAATTCATCATAGTTGGCACACAGAATGTCCCCCTACTCTGCTCTTTGAAGAAGGAATAACTTCTTCTCTATGGTATAAGAGTTGCCTCTCATATAGAGGTATTAATGGAATACTGGTAGTGTTGCTCTGCAAAATAGCATGTATTTTCAACTGCAGGTATGTAACCACATTTAAAACAACTTCTGCTTTATTTCAGTTGATGCAATGAAGAGAGTGGAGGAAATAAAGCAAAAACGCCAAGCTAGATTTATTGTGAACAGGTGAGGAGAAGTATTTGTATTACGGAAGCTCTCACAGATCTGTATTAGACTGTTAATCTTTCCAGAGACATGACGACATAAGTTGAAATGACTGTTTGCTTTGTACACACAAGCCATCCGAGCAATGGGGTGAAATAGTTTGAGTGGGCTCTGCTATGCTACTAAACTACTATGCTTTATTGGCTGTCAAGTGAAATGTAGCTTTTGGACACTCAATGATAATAGTTATATTTCCTTGTTTGTAATATGGAGTCTTAGATTTAAAAACTTCCTTGCAGGAGTTGATATAGTGCTGGCTTTTTCTCTGGTTTTGTATCCTGTATATGCTTGAATTGGTTTTCAAATACTCTTTACCTTTATTTCCTTATAATGATAGTTACATTTTATATACCTTCAGCTGAAGATGTGTGTCATGCATTAAAATGAAAATAAACATCTCCTCTTTGAAGGTAATTAAATTTAATTTCCCCCCTCCCCAGATTAAAGAAGAGCAAAGAGTTGCAGAAGGCAGAGGACATCAAAGAAGTCAAACAGAATATACACCTTCTTCGTGCTCCACATGCAGGTAAGAACTTGTTTTACATGGTTTGCTGAGGTTAACTTGTGGATACAATTCTATAATGAATATTGTTGGGGTTTTTTAATGACTAATTCTACAGATCAATAATCTGCATTTTTCTTACAATTAATTTGTCTATTGAATATGGAGAATAGCTCTTGCAAGTAAATGTAAGCAGTGTCTTTGTTCTGAATCAAATATACCTTTGTATTTATCTAGTCCTGCATTCATCCTTTCTTTTCCTTATTTATTTTAATAATAATACAGTTCTGTTTATAATACAGTTCTATTTATAATACAGTTTTATTTATTTTAAACTGCACTCAATACCTGATACTCTCTGAATTGTGTTTAACCATTACATTTATCTAAGTCTTCCTTTTGAACTGATTATTTGAACTCAAAAGACTATACCACTGATTGATACAAAATACAGTAGTTAAGCTCTACTTTTTGAATTTGTTACCTAATTGTGAGAGTAGTTTTTTTTGTAGTTCACTGCATATAATGAAACTTAAATGAAAATACTGTTTCTTCAGTGTAAGCCTACCATTTTTAAAAATATGGTAATTTTACAAATTTCCATTAAAATCTGCCTAGTTCAGATATAATTATGTATATTCTTTGTTAGTGAGTTTTTTTGATTGGAGAAACCTGTTTCCCCTAAACACTTTTGTGGTTTCTAAACTCTATATTACAAGTACTAGCTTATGTTAGATGACGTTGATTAAAAATTGATTACAAAGATGGTTTATTTTTTAAAATACAGTTATGGAGTAGCGTAATGGAGAGAAGTTAAAAAAGTTTCCATTAGTTACTGCTTTATGAAAATTACCAGTGATTTTTGTCTCCGTGGATGTAGGCATGACACATTATTAGACATTAACTAGAATTAGGTTCTATGTTTTTTCTTCCAGTCTGTGTTAACTATAGTCTAAGATGGTACATATGTGACAAAAGGTTTTGTCAGGATATATTTAAACTTTTGTTTAATCTGTCCCTTGGTTTTTGAGGAAGGAAAAAGAAAAAAAGATATGAATTCAAAAGAACAAACCTGAGTGTTTATTTCTTTTGTTTGGCTTTGCTTATGTTAATGAATGATGCACAATAGCATGTAGTACATCTGTTTGTCAAACAGCAGCTACCTTTTCAGAGTTTTGCAATTCCTG